ATATTTTCACCTAGTGTGAAACCAGGGACAAGCATGAGCTCAAAAAGTCCTTCTTTAATGCTTAGTGTTACATGATTTGCTGTATCACCTGAGCAAATGACCAGCACTTAGAGGTGAAAGAGTTACACAGCTAGAATCATACACATCTTGAGAAATAAAAGAATTCTGGTCATTTCAACATGGCTATGAAAATAGTGTGCCATTTTAAGATAACTGAGAGACAGAAAACCGGGTGAGGAAAAAAAAAGTTCAGTTACAACTGTTGGGGGCAAGTGGAGGGAATGGTGGTCTTTGTGTGCCTGTAAATTTGCCAGGTAGACCCCATAACTGCAAGTATGCTTTTTGTTAAACTCCTGGTTCCTTCCTTTGATGGATGACCAGCAGGTTTTTAATGTTTCTGGGGACTGTTGCATAATGTATATGGATAATGACAGTGAATGTGCTCTACAGTCTGGAGAAACACAATTTGTTGCAACAATCCTAGAAAGCAGTGTGTACTGTTGAGCAGAACTTTTGTTCGTGAATCATCATCAGCAGCAGCTTGAGTTAGGTTTTGGTGACTGGTATACTGTATCTGTGTCACTCCAGTGGGATGCTGCGGAAATGCAGATTCTAGTATAAACTCGAAGCTTACGCAGGGCTTTTCAGTGGGCACGAGATCTTTCTACATGTGCCACACTGTATGAAGTGGACTCTGCTGTGTCATTCTATGTTCTCTAACCTTTCTTTTGCATGGGGTCCTCCTGGCTATGCCATGTATTTTGAGGTGAGCTGCCTGACAAGCACAGTAAGAGAAGAGCTCAACTCTGAAGCTCAGGGCTGTGATCTTGTAGCAGCAAAACTGCAGTGATCTTGCTGCTGTGAGAATTGTTCTCGATGCAGCATCCACGTGTGCAGCAGTATCTATGAATTGTCTGCTTTTGCTTTAGGGTTTCTTTCAATGCTCATAATTTCTTGAGGCAAAAAAACAGGAAGTAACAATTTTTTGAAACATAATGTGGTTAGGTGTTTAGATGTTTGATGTGTGATCTGCACCCCTAGTTAGTTGTGCCTGCAGGAAGAACCTACTGGCCAAATACTTGGTTCCTAACTGTGCTGTGCAAATCTTGTTATGTAATGGTCTGAGGTATAATGTTGCTTCTGAGCGAAGGTCCCTCTGAAAGGCTGGGTCTAAAGTGATAATGTAGATAGAGATTGAAATTGTTACTCTGCAGCATACTCTGCAGCAGTACTCTCAGGTGCCTCAAGTACTACATACAACAGTAGCATGTTTCTATCATTTTCACCTGTGAGAAAAACAGAATGGGAAAAGTGAAGGAAGTTAAAATGATCTAAAATATTTCCAGACTGGAAAGGTGAAAGGAGACTCCCAGCCTGGGAACACCTGTTTTCAAAGACTGTTTGTTTCCTTGAGGAGAAGCTGCAGTGGGGGCTCTCCAGCTTGGGAGGGAACTCACATGCCTTTTGGAAACGGTGTAGGATGAGGGGAGAAGTAGGGTGATGTCATCACTATGTTTCAAGAGACAAAAAATAATTATTTAGCGATTTTTGAGTAGAAGTTGTTCCTCTCCCGAGTTGGCCGTGAGAAAGCATAACAAGACTCCTGCAGCTTTTTCTCTTAATTTAAAGCCATTGCACAAGACTGCAGTGAGGCTTTGACTCTGGAGAGCTGGAATAAAGTATTGGCTACTGAAGGTTTGCTCTGAGGCATTGTTCGAGCCCATTCCTGTGAAATGCACTGACCCCTAGTGACTGCAGAGACAGATAAATAATTTAGAGATTCGGTTGTTTTAAAAAAATAAATACTTATCTTTACATAACATCTTGCTTTGAAAGGGAGCTTTTATTAGCAAATGTCTTCATTAGGAGGAAATGGTCAAAATCCTTCTATTTTAAGCAATCTCTAAGTTCTCAGGGAAGTTTTACTCAGTTTTTATTTTACAACAACCAATTTTTTCCTCATTTGGGTGTTGTTCAGTTTTACTACGCTAATTAATAAATAGCTTCATTAAAATATCAGTGCTGCTAAGATGCTGGGAGTTAATGGTTTAAATATAGCCATGTAAGTTTGTTCAGGAATGCTGGATGTCAGGCTGGAATCTTTGCAAACTTTTAATCCAGTACAGGTGATAGCATTGTTAATATGTTTGCGATCTGCTATGATGCATCTACAGAAGATGTCTGATGATCTTGAGAAGTACCATCTGGAAAAACATTAGTATATTCTAAGAAGTATAAGGTGAAAGCAACAAATCATTTCTTTACCTTGGGCCTTTCAGATCACGAGCAGATGATGTACATGCGTATGTAATGCCAAGGCAAGTTCAGCTCTCCTTCGGTAGCCCTCTGCCTCTGTTTGGATTGTTATCTCAGGACTTAGTTTCAAGTAGTGTTAGTTTGAACCAGTGTGGGGGATTTGTCATGCAGTGAGTATGTGAAAAAACAGATACACAATCTTTAGGGACCCACTGCATGAAATGTACAATATCCTCAATTTTCTTTGACTCCTCTTAGGGCCCTAATGACAGAGACAACCAGAAAGAAGAGCATTAAGAAATATAATAGGGGATGCACCCATGATCTGGAAAACATGCATGTGTCTTCAATATTTTTGTGGATCATAGTGCTGTTGAGACTGATGAAGAAATGCTAGATAAGGATTTGATGACACAAAGCACTGATCCCTGTCTGTACCTCTGATTTCAGTCAAGAGTAGCTAAAATCTCACAGGAACTGCTAATATCTCATTGACCCATGTAACTGTTGTCCAGTGGTGAGGTATTTGTTAGTACCTATGACTTCCTGGACTGAGCAATTGATGACTCAAGAGAACAGGATTTGATATTTCTTTCCAGGAAGCTCTAGTGAAGAGGAAGGAGATAGTGAAATGAGGTTGTGATACCACAAGAACCCAGGACGAGCCAAGTATCGTGCCCCATGGCCATGTCCTTCTTCTGCTGCTTTTCTCTGTCTTACCCTTGAGCTGAGCCTCTCGCGCAGCCCGATCCTGTGCTGGGCGTGTTGGCACGTTAAGATGCTAGAAAATGATTTCCTTTGGGCTTTGGCTTGTTGGGGTGGCTTTTCGGGGTAGGGCGGTGGGTGCAGTTGCCTCAGGAGGTGCTAGTTCTTCATGATCCCGGTTTGGAAAGGCACTGGACTTGTATAAAGCGTCTTTTCAGGTGCTGGTTTTCTGAGATGCCATTTAAAAGGAAAGGAGGACAGTGTAGCTCATGCTACAGCCATTCAGATGCTGGGAGCCCCAAGTTGTGCGGCAGCGAATGGGCCTGCGACTCTGGCCCAGCACCCCCTGCACCTCCCGTCAGTGGAAAAGTCACCGCGTTTTGGTCCTTTGAGCTCTTAGAGGATTTTCCCCAAGAAGCCAGCTCGATTCCTCATTTCCACTGTCAGACAAAAGGGATGTTCACCTGAGAACTTGTTGCTGCCCTCATAGATAAGGACTAGGCCAGGCCTTATGTAACTGGGCACAGCATCCCTCTGTGTCAGATGGTAATTTGCCTCAGGCAGACAAGATAGAAGGTGTTGCCACAAGGGGTCGGGTCCCACAGCTGGAAAGGGCGGTGTCTAATTAGAGGGGAGGAAACATTTTCAAGACGCTTAGTCCTTGATTTCAAGAAGGTGTTTCTTGTCTGTTTTTTGACATGTTCTAACTCTCAGCTAAACCAGATACTCTAGATGTTTCTATTCTTCTCTCAGTTAAGGAAAGCGAGACCTAACTGCACGCCTGTTGACAATCACTGTAGCCTCTCTAAATTTCACAGGATCCCAGAATGGTTCAGGTTGAAAAAACCCCTTGGGATCATCAAGTCCAACCCTCAGCCCCAGTATGGTGCAAAGTTCTCCCCTGCACCATAGCCCCCACCGTCTCATCCAAACGACCCTTCACCACCTCCAGGGATGGTGACTGCAGTCCTTCCCTGGGCAGCCTATTCCCCTGTCTGAGCAGTCTTTCTGGGAAACCTTTTCTCCACATGTCCAGTGTAAACCTCCCTGTTGCAGCTGAAAGCCATTCCCTCTTGTTCTGTCGCTAATGACCTGTGAGAAGAGACCAGCACCAGGCTCTCTCCAGTGTCCTTTCAGGGAGGTGTAGAGAGTGCTGAGGTCTGCCCTCAGCCTTCTCCTCCTCAAAGTAAACAGTCCCCATTAGATTTCTCAATAGAAAAAAAAGG